CCTGTGCCGGAACCCGAACCCAAACCTGTTGCCCCTGCAGATCTCGAGCTGGAAGAGGAATTCGAGGAATCCGAGCCCGAGCCCGAGCTCGAGGAAGAGCCTATGGTGTCCGAGTATGAGGAGGAGCCGATCGAGATCGACTCGGACACGGAGTCAGAACCTTCAGGGTCCGATTCGGATTGGGCGCCGTAGGGATGTTTAGGTGTTGGGCCTGGAAGCCTTTTTGGTATAGTCCCTTTTTGTGTAGTTAGTAGTCTATCTGGCCACCTGTTCCTTTTTTATGACGAAGGTGGATATTAACCCTAGGAATATTTGGGATTTCAAGCTAATGTTATGTGTTTATTGATTTGCGTTTGTTCTACCCCGTTGTCATTACTTATTGTCCGGGATGTTTAAATTTCGTTTCTGCCTGCGTACGACTTTAGGTGTTTCGTTTGGGATCGGTGACGCGTCTTAGGACATTGCGATCAATACGACCTTCGGAGGGGTGTCGCAAGCCCGTCGGGGTTCGTGGCGTGACACTCCCATTGATTTGGTATCAGAGTAAGGTCAGCTCGATCCAAGATAGTCGAAGCCTGAAGTGATAAGGAGCAATGACTTTGGGGTAGTTAGTTAGGGAGACTCGTGTGCCATGCGTACCACAAACTATGTGATTGTGGTTGCTGAGTGATTTTATGCAATAATATGTGAGGTGTAGGTGCATTAGGACTTGAGGTGAGTACGCGAACTCTGTTGGTTGTGATTGGGTGTTGTTCGTGATTGGCTGCCTGTTTAGTGAATTGTTGTTGTGATTCACTGCCTAGGGCTTAGATTGGTATAGTTGGCGTAGGTTTCTAATTCCTGCGTGCAATTTAGCAGGTGAGCATTTGTGAGAGCCGGTTAGATGAGCAGTTGAGGTCGAGGTAGAGGTCGAAGTAGAGGTCGAGGTCAAGGTCGAGGTCTTGTAGCCCCGCAAGCTGGAGTTGTGGAAGATCCCAGGTTTGATGAAATTTGGAGGACGTTCAAGGAAGCGGAAATATTATCGGGTAGACAGACGGGGGAAAGAAGTGCTAATGTCGCCGCTGCAGCTGCCAGCGAGATTATTGGAAATAATGGAGGCCAGGGGAATAATGTGATTGGTGAAAATCCTGACCCAGTGCGAGTAAATGTGATCAGGCCAATGTCCAAGCTAGTAGAACAGTTTCTAAGGTTGAAACCCCCGAAGTTTGATGGGAGAGGCGATGCTGAGGCTGCCCCAAGATGGGTGGAAGAGCTAGAAAAGGCTTTCGAGGTGCTGGGGTGCACTGAGGAAGAGAAGGTAACACTAGCAGTCTACCAGCTTCAGAGTAATGTAAGTGATTAGTGGAGGGCCACCAGAGGTCAAGTATTCCCTACTGGTACTCCTCCGAATTGGACCATCTTCACTAAGACCTTCAATGGTAAGCGCTCGAGAGCATAAACTGGCGGAATTTATGAGACTTCGTCAGGGTCAGATGTCGGTGGATCAGTATGAAGCCGAATTTGCGAGGTTGTCCAAATTTGCCCCCAGAATGGTGGAGGACCCAATGGACAAAGCTAGGAGGTTCCGGGATGGGCTGAAACCGGACCTTCGTAGTCAAATGATCTCATTGAACTTGAGGGGCTATAATGAGATCTATGAGAGGGCCTAGTCAATTGAGCGAGATCAAACGGATCGGGCTGCCGCTTCTAGATCGCGGTATGCCCCAGCTAGGGACAACTATCAAATTGGGAAAAGAACTATGGCGGGAAATAGTCGTTTCGTCCCTCCCGCTCGAAGGAATATCGGGAAGCCAAACCGTTACCAGAACGCCCCGTGTAGGCTATGTGGAGGAAGGCACGGAAATGGACATTACCTGAATAGGGGTGGAGCATGTTTTACATGTGGTGAAAGGGGCCATCAGATGAGGGATTGTCCTAACAACAGGCAGGCCAGGTCACCTACACTATTGCCGCCGCCGCCTCGGAATGAAAATCAAATTGGAGCCATCCAGCCGGCCAACCAGAATAGGCCACCGGCCCAAGAACGGGTGTATGCAATGGCAAGGAGGGAAGCTGAGGACGCACTTGGCGTGGTCACAGGTACGGTCTCTTCGTGTGATTATGCTGCATATGCCTTGTTTGATCCGGGGGCATCGCATTCATTTATATCCAAGCAGTTCGTTAAATTATCTGGGATTGAGCCAAAATCGCTTGACGTTATGCTATGTGTGACTACTCCGCTGAATGATAAAGTGTTGATTGTGTTTGGATGTCCCAATTGTAAGATAATGATTGGCGATAGGGAAGGAAGAATAGATTTGGCGGTTTTATTTATGCATGACTTTAATGTGATTGTTGGTATGGATTAGCTAGTCAAACAGAGAGCTGTTATGGACTGTAGTAGCAGGGTGATCCAATTCAATCCGGTTGGACATCCTAGATTTGAGTTTGTGGGAAACCGAGGAGGAACCTCGATCCCTTGGATTTCGTCGCTAGAGGTAACAAAGCTGCTGGATGAAGGGTGCCAAGGATTTCTGGCAAATGTAGTTGATTTGACGGCTGGAGAGCCGAGGCTAAAAGACATAGCCGTGGTGTGCAATTTTCTCGATGTCTTTCCTCAAGAATTGCCGGGACTGCCACCAATAGAGAAGTGGAGTTCGTGATTGAGTTAGGCCCAGGGACGGAACCGATCTCGAAAGCACCTTATAGGATGTCACTATCGAAATTGAAGGAATTGAAAGTCCAAATGCAAGAGTTATTGGCTAAAGGCTTCATTCGCCCGAGTGCATCTCCATGGGGAGCGCCAGTGTTATTCGTGAGGAAAAAAGATGGATCATTGAGGTTGTGCATTGACTACAGACAATTGAACCAGGTGACCATTAAGAATAAGTACCCGTTGCCAAGGATTGATGACCTGTTTGATCAGTTATAAGGGGCATCAATGTTTTCTAAGATCGATTTGAGGACTGGCTATCACCAATTGAGGATCAAGAAGGAGGACGTGCCGAAGTCCGCATTTAGGACGAGGTATGGATACTATGAGTTTACGGTGATGCCGTTTGGACTGACGAACGCCCTTGCAGCCTTTTATGGATTTAATGAATCGGGTATTCAAGGAATTTCTAGATCATTTTATGATCGTGTTCATAGACGATATTCTAGTGTATTCGAAGAGTTCCGCCGAGCATGAGGTACATTTGGAAAAGATTCTACGAACCTTGAGGGAACATGCACTGTCATGCCCCAGACCCCAACAGGCTCGCCACACCCCTTCAACGATCGTATTGAACGCGACGTCCCAGGATGCGTCGCCGACCCCAAACGAAACACCCAACGATAAAGGCAAACGGAAGCGAATTTAAAACAGCCCAGACAATAAAATATGACAAAGGGATAGCACAAAACAATAATTGCAAATACACAACATCAAAAGGGAACAATGGTTGGATATCCTACTTCGCTATACAAAAGAGGGGCACATAAAATATAGGGTAACTTGACTCGTCCTCCACTCCCGAGGTACCCTGGTGGCGTCTTCAATCAATCACGGTCGCAGATCTGAAAGTGGTTATATAATAACCGTGAGAACGAGTCTCAATAAGCAACACCCTAAACCCTACGAAGGCCAATGCGTACCCAGACAAGTCGTACAAACAATCTAACCAACAACTTAACGAGCTCACAACAATGTACTTACCTTTGCCATCAGAACGCGTACTAACTCTACACGTTAGTAAAATCGCGACAAGACAATAATACTAACTCAATAACATATCACAATCAATCAAACGCCAACCACACTGGCACTCAATCAATCCCACCAATTCAATCACACATTCAATTAGCCAGTCCAATCAGTTCAATCAATTCAATCACACTCAACTCGCATGCGTGGTCGAACAACTTTCCACGACCTCCCAGGTCCTTTCACACTGCCCGCGCCACTGCGCCTCAAGCCCAATCTCACAGCCCGCGCTACTGCGCCTCAGGCTCAGCCCTCAGATCAAGCCGGGCTCGGTCCCGCGTAACCACTCCTCGACATTTTTCCTTCCAATGATCCGCGTAACCTACGCCTCAGTCCGTCATGCCTTTCGCCACACCCGCGTAACCACGCCTCAGGTTGGCAGCCCTCCGATCAATCCGGGCTTTTCTCATGCACATGCACCACAACACAATTCGCCATTCTCACAAGTCATACCAATCAAACTCAAGGCATGCTCACCACAATATTCCACCAACCCGACCTTCAAGTCGGTCACATTCAACTATCAATTCCACCCACAAACGCCACGATAAGCCAATCATTGACCCACCAGCAATAGCCACAAATATGCACTCACAATCACCCCAATTCCAAATCACAAGCTCACGATTCCGACATTCAAGCCGGTCACAATCACACGTCAACTTTCCCACACACGCCAAGACAATACGGATATTTAGCACGTCACAATTTGCCACGCAATCATCACAATTTAATCCACCACTTATCACATAATTCAAGTACTAATCATATTCTAGCCAACTAATTCATTTTCTAACTTAGTCACTGAATTAATTCTACTTAATCTCTAAACAAGTCTAATAATACCCATTGTACTAAATAGGGATTAGAATGTCACTTACTTCAATTTGGCCCGGGAAAAACTTGCGCGGGCTCAAAACGGGCCGGATGAACAATAACAACGAGGGCACGACGGGTACGGGGCTCGACCACGACTCGGCACACGGCCACGGCCCGGGGCAGTCCGGCCACGGCTTGGGCAAGCTCAGGCTGGTTGGGCAGCGGCTAGGCGAGCACAGCCATGGCCCGGGACGCTCGGCGACGGCGACGACAACGGCGGTTGGGCTGGTCCCGGCAAGCACAGCGGCTGCAAGAGGCTGGGTAAGGTTGCTGGGAGCTAGGTGGTGGCGGACGGAGCAGCGGCGACGGCCGGAACGGCAGCGCGCGGCGGCTGGACGAGGCGGCGCCGGGGAGAGTCCAAAACAGGGGAGCGTCGGTGAGGGAGAAAAACAGGGGAATGGCGGTAGTGGCGGCCAAGGGGGGCAGCAGGGCGGCGGAGGTGGCTGGGGGAAAGGCTGGGTGGCGAAAACGGAGCGGCGGCGGCCGGAACGGCAGTACGTGGTGGCGGCGAAGCCCGGGGCCGAAACAGGGGAGAGCGTCGGGGAAGGAAAACAGGGGGGAAAGTGGAGGTCGCGCGTCGGCCGGAGGCGGCACGGCGGCGTCGCGGGCGGGCCGACTAGCGGCTGGGCAGCGCCGAATCGGCGGACGCGGCGGGCGAGCTGCTTCTTCCGCGTGCGCGCCGTGCGAGACCGGCGACAAAGCGAAAGGGGGCAGGCGAACAGCGGTCGCGGGGCGACGAAAGCGCGCGCTGCTCGGCTCGGGCGACGGCAGCATGCGAGGCGGCGGCGGGCCGGGCTGGTCCTGCGAGCGGCGTCGGGCAGCAAGAACAGGGAAGCAGGAGCAGCCGCGGGGAAGAAGATGAAGAAGAAGAAAAAGAAGAGAAAAAAAGAAAAAGAAGAAAAGGAAGAGAGAGAGAAAGGAGAGTGGATAGGTCTGACAGAGGGGGGGACAGACGTGCGCAAGAGGGGGAAAGTGACCGGGGAGAGAGAGAGAGAAAAATAAATAAACATTCAAATAATAATTGCGATCCGATGGCCCATATTTAAAATCGAAAACGATCTACCGGTCCAAATTAATCCTAGAATATAATAAGGGACAAAGGCCAAATTAATTAAATCAAACTACCCCGAGAGAGGTCTACTAGTCCAAATCTGCACCCGGTCAAAAATCCACTTTTCACATATCCGGGGTAATTTCGAGGCTGGCCACAATAATATCGACACCGTCCAATTAAATTCGTCCCGGAACTCCGAAAAATTCGACATCAAAGTTTGGGCTCTAAATAATGGCAAAATTCGATCGAATGCGATTCTAGCGAAATCTCAAATTTAAAACAATAACCGGAAGTGATCAGTTCCCGGGCGAGATTTTACTATAAGCACATTGACGAATTACACGTTTTATAAATCCCAAAAATGGGCCGAAATTCGGAATGTCACATGCACTCTACGCTAAGTTGAGTAAGTGCGAATTCTGGCTTCATCGAGTGGCGTTCTTAGGACATGTGATATCCGGAGAAGGAATTGGGGTGAACCCGATAAAGATTGAAGCCGTCACAAATTGGCCGAGGCCGACAACAGCAACTGAGATTCGGAGCTTCTTGGGTCTAGCAGGTTATTATAGACGCTTCGTGGAAAGGTTTTCGGCATTAGCAACACCGTTGACGTGGTTATTAAAGAAGGAGACGAGATTTGAATGGACGGATAAGTGCGAAAGGAGCTTCCAAGAATTAAAACAGAGGTTGACGACCACGCCAATGTTGACGATCTCGTCAGGTCCGGGAGGATATGAGATTTACAATGACGCATCGTTAAGAGGATTGGGATGTGTGCTAATGCAACACGGAAGAGTAGTGGCATACGCATCGCGACAATTAAGGCCACATAAGCAGAATTATCCGACGCATGACTTGAAGTTGGCCGCGATTAGTTTCGCTCTCAAGATTTGGAAACACTATCTGTGTGGGGAGAAATTTCGAATTTATACGGACCATCAAAGTTTAAGGTACTTGTTCTCCCAGAAGGAACTGAACATGAGACAACGTCGTTAGATGGAACTCCTTAAGGACTATAACTGCGATATTATGTTTCACCCTGGAAATGCTAATAAAGTGGCGGATGCACTGAGCTGGAAATCGAGCATCGCGCATATGATGGTCAAGGAATGGATTCTGTTGGAGAGAGTTCGAGATTCGGAATTTAAGTTTGAAGTGAGTCATGTATCGAGCCTGCTTGCAACGTTGAGGATTAAGCCGAAAATCTAGACTAAGATTAAGGCTTTACAATCGACGAACCCAGAGATTCAAAAGATTTTGGGTATGGAGGCCACAAAAAGGATATCGGATTTTCAGGTATCCGAGGATGGGATTCTGAAGTTCCGTGAACGGTTATGTGTACCCAGTGATGCAAAACTGAGGGAAGAGATTTTGTCTGAAGAACATCGTAACAATTACAGTATTCACCCGGGTAGTACGAAAATGTATCAGAACTTGCGACAACATTATTGATGAAACGGCATGAAAGTGGATGTAGCCAAACACGTGGCCAAGTGTTTAACATGTTAGCAAGTGAAGGTGCACCATTGCAAGCCGGGTGGAATGTTGTAACAATTGGAGATTCCCGAGTAGAAATGGGAACACATCACAATGGACTTTATAATGGGATTACCGAGAAGTCAAAGGGGTCATGATTCGATTTGGGTGGTAGTCAACCGATTGACAAAATCAGTACATTTTCTGCTGGTGCGAAAGGACTTCACCTTGGAAAGGTATGTCGAGATTTGCATGCGGCAAATAGTCCATCTACATGGAGTGCCAATGACAATCACTTCAGACCGTGATCCTAAATTTACTACCGCCTTTTGGAAAAGTCTTCATATGGCATTATGAACAAAGTTACGGTTTAGCATGGCCTATCGTCCCCAAACGAATGGCCAGTCTGAAAGGACGATTCAGACTTTGGAAGACATGTTACGGGCATGTGTACTGGATTTTAGAGGTAACTGGGAGGAACAGTTGCATTTGGTTGAATTCGCCTACAACAATAGCTACTAGCAAAGTATCGGGATGCCACCATTTGAGGCGTTGTATGGCAGAGCTTGCAGAACACCGGTTTATTGGGATGAAGTGGGTAAGAGGAGCATCACGGGCCCCGAGTTGGTTCAGCAGTCAATCGAAACAGTCAAGGTGATTCGGGACAGGCTTAAGACCGCTCAGAACCGCCAAAAAAATTAAGCGGACCGAAGACGTAGGCCTTTGGAATTTCAAGTGGGGGACCACGTTTTCCTCAAGGTGTCGCCGATGAAAGGATTGTCACGATTCAGCAAGAAAGGAAAGTTGAGCTCGAGGTACGTGGGTCCGTTCGAAGTCTTAGAGAGAATCGGTACCTTGGCTTATCGTCTCGCGCTACCGCCGAATTTATCCCAAGTGCATAATGTATTCCACATGTCGATGCTAAGAAAGTATGAACCGGACCCGACTCACGTGCTAAACTATGAAGAAATAGACGTGGACGACAGAGTATCATATGTGGAAAAGCCAGTAAGAATCGAGGATAAATGGAATGAGTATTGCGGAACAAGACAATTCCGATGGTCAAGGTGATCTAGGAGCATCATGGAACCGAAGGTGCAACATGGGAAAGCGAGGAGTTGATGCGACACTAATATCTCCATTTGTTTGAGTAATTGGGTTGGATTGTAAATTTCGAGGACAAAATTTTTGTAAGGGAGGAAGAGTTGTGACATTCCAAATTTAGGTCCATTTTTGGGATTTATAAAATATGTATTTCGTTAGTGCGCTTATAATAAAATCTCGCTCGGAACTGATCACTTTTGGGTTATTATTTTAAATTAGAGATTTCGCTAGAATCGCACTCGATTGAATTTGGCCATTATTTAGAGCCCAAACTTTGGTATCGAATTTCTCGGAGTTCCAGGACGAATTTAATTGGACGATGTCGATATTATTGTGGCCAGCCTCGATATCGCCCGAGATATGTGAAAAGTGGATTTTTGACCGGGTACGAATTTGGAATAGTAGACCTCTCTCGTAGAGTGTTTTATTTGTTTTCTTTTGGCCCTTTTCCCTATATTATTAATTAGGATTTTCGTGGGCCGTTGGATCATTTTTGGGTTCGAACGTGGGCCGTTAGATCGTAATCATCGCGTTGACTTCTCTCTCTCTCTCTCTCTCTCTCTCTCTCTCTCTCTCTCTCTCTCTCTCTCTCTCTCTCTCTCTCTCTCTCTCTCTGTGTGCTGCACACACCCTACGTACGCGTCTGTCCCTCCAGCTACGCGCGTCCTCTCCGTCTCTGCCCCATGCAACGTCCCCTCTTTCTTCTCTCTTCTCCTTTTCTTCTTCCCTTTTTCTTCTGTTCTTCTTCTTCTTCGTCGGTCTTCTCTTTCGCCCGACTGGTTTTGCTTCTGTTGCCGCTCGCCGTGCCGAACCGTTCGTCGCGCCGGATCGCCGCCGCACCGTCTGTTCTTCGTCGCCGCCACGCCGTCCGTCGCTGTTGTCGCCGCAAGCCCAGCTTGCTACTCGAGCTCGCTGCGCCCGACCGTTGCAGCGCCTGTCACGGCTCGGCACTACCCAGCCGGCCGTTCTGCTCCGCGCCTCCGCCTGTGGCGTCGCCGTGCTACCCTCGACTGTCACCGGCCCTGCCGTTCCCATCGCCGGCCTTCCTTCCAACATTTCTCTTTCCTCGAGCTCCTCTTCCTCCCTGCCCGGCTCCGCCTTGTCCAACCGCCGCCGTTGCTCTGTCCGCCACCACCCAGTCACCTACAGCTGCCATGCCCACCTGGTCCGCCCAATGCCGCCCCAGCTTAGCCTTGGTCGGACTTTCCCGGTTGTGGCCGAGCTTTCGCCACACAGACACCGTCGCCGCCGACGCTCGCCGTCTCGCCCCGGCCGGCCAACCACCAATGGGCCAACACACAGCTTCGGGCCGGCCACTAGCTCGCCGCTGAGCGTGCCCAAACCGTGCCCGAGCTTGCCTACCGAGCGTGCCCCGCCGTGGCCGGACAGCCAACCAGCTCACCCAGGCACGTCACCCGTCCAGCCTGCCCGTGTGCCCCAAGCGCGCCGCTCGGCCACCGCACCCGTGCGCCAAGCGCACCGTTCAGCCACCGTGCCCGTGTTGGCTGATCAGCACGCCCGTTTGGCCCGCGCCTGTGCCGAGCCCAGCACTGTTCACCCAGGCCATTTTGAGCCCGTGCGGATTTTTCCTGGGCCAAAACCTAGTAAGTAACTTCCTAAACTCTACTTAGTATAATAGGTATTTTTTTACTTGTTTTGGGTGTGATTAGTACCGGATTATGGATTAAATTAGGTGTGTATTAGTTGAATTGAATGTGCTCAATTTATGGATTATTGTGGTGATGATTGTGTGGCTAATTTGGTGATTGCATGAGATGGGTGACATGATCGGTAGGCTGATGTGGGGAGCATGACTTGAATTGGGTGTTATAGCGTGTCAGATTGACATTGGTGAAAGCTTGGTGATTTGAATGTGAACTGTATGACGTGTTAGATGGTAAATTGTGTTGTGGTGCATGTGCATGAGGAATGTCCTGAGGCGTGATTACGCGGGACTGAGCCCGGATTGATCGGAGGGCTGCCAACCTGAGGCATGATTACGCGGGTGTGGCTAGAAAGGCAAGAAATGACCTGAGGCGTGGTTACGTGGGTCGAGAGAAATGTCCTGAGGCGTGGTTACGCAGAACTGAGCCCGGATTGATCGGAGGGCTGCCAACCTGAGACGTGGTTATGCGGGTGTAGCTAGAAAGGTAAGAAATGACCTGAGGCGTGGTTACGTGGATCGAGAGAAATGTCCTGAGGCGTGGTTATGCGGGACTGAGCCCAGCTTGATCGGAGGGATGAGCTTGAGGCGCAGTAGCGCGGGCTATGAGATTAGGCCTGAGGCGCAGTGGCGCGGGCAGTGAGAATGGACCTGAGGCGCAGTGGCTTGAGTCGTGAGAAAGATGTTCGACCACGAATGTGAATTGAGTGTGATTGAATTGATTGAATGTACGTGGTTATGGCATTTGAGTGGCGATGTTATGTTCTTGAACTACTATTGCTTTATGGTGGATATTCTAATATGCAAAGTTAGCACGTAGTTCGAGGTGAGGTAAGTATGTTGTGTGAAATGGATTGTGTTGGCTGGTGGATTGCATGTTAGACTTGTCTGGGTACGCATTGACCTAGGTGGGGTATAGGTTGTCTGCTTATTGAGATTTATTCTCATTGCTGTAGTGCAAACATTTTCAGATCCCCGACCTTGAGTATTTCACCACTTAGGCGTTTTGGGATTCCCATGCATACGGTGCATGAGGAGACCGAATATCCGGGACTAAGCCTGAGTGAGACGTACTTTAGGCATCTTACCACTGTTTGGGTAGACGTGAGACTAGAGGGACTGCACCGCCATACGTATTTGGCTTGGTCCCATCGTGTCAAGTTGGTGACTACTGGGCCAATCTGGGGTTTGAGGGGTTGCAGCATGCTAACGAGGGTGCGGTGAATTGGGAGCCCTGAGATAAGTTTACTCTCGATGGTGAGGTGACGGATCCCGACAGTTCACCCGAGGACCCTGGTCCAAAACCAGTGCCCGTTCCAGAGCCTGAACCCGAGCCCGTGCTGGAACCCGAACCCGAACCTGTGGCCCCTACAGACCTCTAGCTGGAAGAGGAATTCGAGGAATCCGAGCCCGAGCTCGAGCTCGAGGAAGAGCCTATGGTGTTCGAGCATGAGGAGGAGCCGGTCGAGATCGACTCGGACACGGAGTCAGAACCTTCAGGGTCCGATTCGGATTGAGTGCCGTAGGGATATTTAGGTTTTGGGCCTGAAAGCCTTTTTGGTAGAGTCCCTTTTTGTGTAATTAGTAGTCTACCCGGCCACACGTTCCTTTTTTATGACAAAGGTGGATATTAACCCTAAAGGCCTGATGTATGAATATTTAGGATTTCAAGCTAATGTTATGTGTTTATTGATTTGCGTTTGTTCTACCCCGTTGTCATTATTGATTGTCCAGGATGTTTAAATTTCGCTTCCACCTGTGTACGACTTTGGATATTTCGTTTGGGGTCGGCAACGCGTCTTGGAATGTCGCGATCAACACATCCTTTGGAGGGGTGTCGCGAGCTCGTCGGGGTTCGGGGCGTGACAAAGATGTGGCTAGATCTACTACTACCTTGTTCGTTGGTAATTTGAGGCTTTATACACTCGACCGAGCAATGACACCGTTCATCTAAGAACAAATATTGTTGTTTCATATAATTTTATTCCACGTCACACCATCACCCTTACACGCAGGACAATCAGTCATGATTAGACTGACACGTCAAGGACATAGTTACACTTTTCCTCAGAGAGTTAGGACTAAATTGGTTCAATTGAAATGTTTAAGACTTGATTACATTATATCTGTACAACATGTTTAATACCGATTGTGCAATTTTCCTAGCAATACCAAAACGCCAATTTCTCGAACTTTTATGAAAATAGAAGATTCTTGTGTATGTATCCATATCGATCATGACATGATCTTAACCTCGTACATTTCGTAATTTCTCGAGTAAAATGATAATTTGTGCTGGTCAATTTTGATCGTCTAATTTTATGTCCTTCCTTCATCATGAAACTTTATTTCCACATATTAAAAACTCCACGCTATCAAAGTAATTAAATAGAGTGATATTTGGGAGATATTTGGGTTTTGACGTTTATCATTTGGATCTCAAGTGAAAATCACATTATACAAAAAGTGAGATCGTTTGGGCTCATGAGGACTGGGTTTGGCTTCGATGGCAACAAGGAACATCCTTCGCTCATGCGTGATGGATTTTCGAAAGCCGTGTTTACAGTCAAGGTCAAGCTGATATTTTCTAATTTTCTTATTTTCACAATTGTTTAAGTTGAAATAGCTCATCTTTTCTTTCTTTTCTTATTTTTCTCATCCTATGAGCTTTCATATTCATACATTGTTTGTTCAAATATGCATGTAGCCAGACAGTTCTCTTTGCATTCTTCAAGGGATTTATTGAGGGAAATAATTGAATTGTAACTTTTAGGCATTCAAACAGATCGCACATGGTGAAGTCGAAAATCCATCACATCTTGTCAAAAAGATGAGGACTAAATTACATTTACATTATTCTCTCCAAGTCTGATATGCAATCAAAGATTTTGGTGGTGTTGCTTGTTGTTTTATAAGCCATGTTTTTTTTTTCGCATCACTATCTTTTAACTGGTGTTTAATTAAATCACATCTTTTACAAATGATAGGTACTTAAAAACATGAGTTTCTATTGACGATAAGCATTACATGGCCAATGATTTGATGATAGCTTTGGTACTCTTGATCTATACTTTGGTTTTCTATGACATCATTATTAAAGTTATCATTCCGAGGAAGGCGGCCATGCATTATTACCACAATCCTATAATTGAACCATGCATGCAAAATAGGGGTCCATACGTACTCTTTTGTTTGACAGAGCTCTGTCGTTCAAAAATAGCTCTGCATATTGCTCAGGCCCAGAAGATGCAATAATTTGACTGGACATTAAATACTGGGATGTCCCATCTCCCTCTCGAGTGAGTCCAAGATTGCTTTTAGAAAAAGCTGAATAGACGAAAGCGGAGCATCAAACACGAGAGATTTTGGCTACAAATGTGGAAATAAATCAATAGATTAATGATAAGCCAAGAAGATTATAACAAGATCGTTGGTAGCAAAATATGCAGGGGAAACATGAAATTTTGATTGTTAGGTCCAAGCGCGCCTCATGCAGTAAGCAACCACTCAAGGCGTTATCGACTTTTTGCATCAAAAAGTTGTTGTGTTTTGATGCCACCTTTCGTTGTTTTTTGCACTCAAATCTCTTCGCCTTCATCTCTCTTCATTCTTGTTATGTTTCACTCTTTCTTCTCCTATCGTCCCAATGGCACGATAGACAAACAACGCGTGCATTTCGCATTAGATGATCTACATCCCACGTATATAGTCCACATCATCATCAACTCCGTCTGCATGTTTGACAAAAAGGATTGGAAAAAAAAATACAACGTACAGATGTAATTGGCTAAAAATAGAGTTCAAAGACCTATTGACAATTTTCGCAAAAAATTCAATTATTACGATGCCTAAATCCCTTATTAATTATCGAATCCCGCATCAGAACTAGTTCGAGCCATCATCTATTTTTTTGGAAAACACAATGAATGAAAATTGTTTTTTATCAGTCTTCGCTAAAATATGCGTCGCAACTCACAAGATATTACTCAGTATCATTTGAGGTACACACAATTTGATGATGAAGTGTCTAGAGCAGCTTTTTTTCACATGTCGCCTTATTGATTTGTGCATGGTGTGCACGGTCTGCAAACTACTTCTACTTCGTGGGCCAATGCCAATGCCAACACTTGTCCCAACGAGCTCCGTTGATGTACTATCAAGTTCCCATCAGTCTCCGCCGAAGAAGAAGATATGTTCGTCTGAGAATCCTCAAAAGGTGCGCCCATTGTGAGTGCATTCAGCATACTCACAAGATCAAATAATACAATTCTAAAGGGCCCATGAGGTGAGGACAGGCTATTGAAGAGTGGAAAATGAAACAGCTCATCAAGATATTTGAAAGAGAAAAACGCCACACAAACGCCAGATTAGGGGTACTATGTAAGGCATCTTGTACGATGCCTCAGAAGCCTCTATTATTGAGTCTACTACATTATTGGTGTGAGACTTGCTCATTCTTTCTGAGAAGAAAAGTCTAAGAAACCGTTTGAGAAGCATAGGAAAAATTACAGTAGGGTTAATATAACAAAAAACTCTAAATTAATACATTTATGATAAATTTATTTCAAATTAATTTTCTGACAACAAAAAAATCCTAAATTGGTACATTTATGATAAATTTATCCGATATTAATTTTCGTTAAATTTTATCGCTAAAATATTAAGTTGGATGACATATGACAGTTGACGGGTATGCCAGTTTAAGGTTTTACCCCTCTATTTGTCACAGATTCATCGGTTTGTGATTTTTCGCTGTATTTGTCCAATTTAACGGAGGGTTAATTTGTCACAAGTGTACCAGTTTGGGTTTTTGGTGGTCAAAAAATTAGTTTAGGGTAAATTTAACACAAATGTACCAGTTCGGGGTTTTTGATAGTCAAAAAATTATTTTTGGGTAAATTTATCATAGGTATACAAATTTAGGATTTTTCGTGATATTAACCTATTATATTAAACTCATATCAGTAAATAACTTTTAAAAGAGCAAGAACAAAGAGACATTAACAAAATTTCAACCATATCATCATCTGGCAATTCCATGATAGTTATTTCACATTCTAATCTAATAATTATTATTGGCATAAAAATTAAACAACTCCAATTTTATTTTGTGGACTGAGTTTTTTATTTCACTTAAGGGAAGCCTGAAGGGGCTTTTTGTCAACAAATCTGCAAAAGATATTGCATGAAATGTCAATGCTTATTTTCAACTAATGGTTAATATGAATGCGACATAAGAGTTTAATAAGTTAGTCCAAATCTAATGTGTCAATAAGGATAACATTATCAAAAATTGCTACTCAATACGTAATCTCTACATTGGCAAATCATGGAGATCACCCATCTCTTTAACTCTTCGCGGGACACCACATATACTCCTGCAATTAAGGTTAATTTTTTTTATTTTGGTCAAAACTAAGGTTTTCTTTTTTTGGGTCAAAAAACTAAGGTTAATTGAAGTGAAGGGGAAAAGCCTTCTTTCCAATCAATTGTCATACATTCATGAGGATGCTCGAATAGTAAGTCGTCGCATTCATCTCTCTCCCACAAGTACCCTAATTAAGGTAATTTGTCCCGTAGCGGTGGACAAAAGGACGTGGAGACTTTGGACATCTGTGATGGTGACTAATCAAGGAACAACAAAATTGCAAAAAAAAAAAATCATCCATTACAAGAATTGTGGACCTAATGACAATACAGCGATAGATATCGCTGTGCTTACCATTCTTGTTTTGATGGAGGCTACCGACATATTTTTTGTATATTTATTTTTGGCCAGTGACAACGTGGGCCAGTCTGCTTACCATTCAACTTCCCAAGTGTAGCTCCATCCATACCCTATCTCCTCTTTCTTCCTCGGGATTTGAGTCATTCTTAAATTTCTAAATTTTTGGATCCCTAGTATTAGTCATGGCCACGGGCCGGTTTTGGCTCGGAACCGGCCCGGTCAAACCCGGGCCCACGGTTCGGAACCGGAACCGGCCCGTGGCCTACGAGCCCGATTCCAGTTCCAAATTATTATTTTTTTTATAAAACAAATTAAACTCTAATTGCCATGCATTATAAGTGCATTGATCTCCAATTACAATGTTTGGCATGAGTGTATTGAACTCTAATTACAAAGCTTGGCTTGAGTTTTATAAACAACCCCTTTGATGGTCTCTTCATTCCCATTCAATGTGAGACTCTCGGCTTGCCTTGAACACCTTCAATGTGAGACTCTTGGCTTGTCTTCATGCAAATGCCAAGAGTCCCACATCGAATGGGAATGAAGAGATCATCAAATGAGTTGTTTATAAAACCCAAGCCAAGCCATGAGCATGTGAAGTTGTATGCCTTTTGTGGCTACGATCCTTTGCTAGTTAAGAGCAAAGGGTTCCATTGGACCGTCTAGAACCGGGCCGGACCAATGGTCCGATTCTCGGTTCTATAATTTGCCGGTTCGGTTCCTAGTTCTAAAATTAAAGGACCGGTCTTACCGGTTCGGTTCCCGGTTCCGATCGGGAACCGATCACCTCTATAATTTTCATTTTGATTATAATTTATATTGAATAATTCATTATTTCATATTTTTATAATTCATTATTTTTTTATTTCATAATTTATTTTTTAAATTTTTAAATTACAAATCGGAATCGGCCTGTTCGGAACCGGAACCGCCGGTTCCGAATCGGAACTGGCCGGTTCCAAACCGTGGGCATGACTACCTAGTATTAAAACTTAGCCATTTATTATAAACTTTTCCAGCAAAATATTGTTCCCCGTCCTTCTGAAAAATTATAAGTGAAAGAAAAATTAGGTTTATAAATTATGAAAACCCATGTAACTTTACCGGTCAATAATTGTATGTTTTTGAAAAATTTTAAAACCGATAAGTGATAACCGCAGTTTTTGAAAAATACAAGTTAAAAGTTAAAAGACTCCAAACAAACCCAAGCATTTGAAAGAAATCCAACTGGAACGAGAGATGACGAAACAATATTAGTTGTAATTCGGAATCGTTTCCCATATTAATTCTGTTTTGTAAAGAGTAGCAGTATTCATGAAAGTAAACTGGTTTAAAATGTTAGTAAAGAATGGAAAAAGTTTAATTTACTTAGAAGTTTGGATCTAACAATTCTAATTGAAGTTACGTCTAAGGCAACAATTACAATTGACATCCTAATCTAACAATTTACTTAATTATAATGTTACTTCTATTACTTCTATATTTTAAATCATTGACCGCGCAAGGAGCGGATTTAGGACTAGTACCTGATCAATGTTTGTCCATCCATTAACGGTGGTGGAGAGAAGGATGAAGGGATGGATTAGGACTAGTACATTACGGGTGGCAAAGGATGAAAGGACCATTTGAGGGTGGCAAAAGACGAAAGGATGGATAACTCATCAATGTCTGACCATTAGCGGTGGAGGAAAGGATGGAGACATGGAAATTGGTGACGGTGGCTGGTCCAGTAAAGGAACAGTAATGTAGAAAAATCATCCATTACTATGCTTAGGGAATTGGCTGGTGTTTAGTCGAGGCCTAACCAATGTTAGGTTAACGAGCTCCATAGTCTGTACCCATCTCCTGTTTTTTCCTCGTGGTTCGGGTCTTTGCAAGAAAACCATCCATTTCTATGGCCATTGACTGGTGTTTACGTTTAAAAAAATGTTCACTTGTATATCATAATTTTTTATTAAGGGAACTATATATTATACATTCAATTAGGGATTAAAAAGAAGTTTCAGGTCGTTCCCGCAAGTAATATTGGCGAGAGAAATGATTGGGTGATAGTATTTAGGGTTAATATCACGAAAAAAATCCTAAATTGGTACATATGTAATAAATTCATCCAAAACTAATTTTTTGACCTCCAAAAACCCCAAACTGATACACTTGTGATAAATTTACCCTTCATTAGTTTTTGATAAATTTTACCAGTAAATTGCTGAGTTGGATGACACGTGACCGTTGACGGGTGTATCAGTTTGGAGTTTTACCCTTCGTTTGTCACATGTGCACTAGTTTGTAATTTTTCATGGTATTAATTCAATTTAACGGAAACTAACGGAGGGTAAATTTGTCACAAATGTACCAGTTTGGGTTTTTTGTGATAAAAAAATTAGTTTTTGGTAAATTTGTTACAAGTGTACCGGTTTAGAGTTTTTTTCGGTCAAAAAATTAATTTGAGGTAATTTTGTCACAAATCTATCAGTTTAGGGTTGTTCATGATATTAACTCTAGTTTTTAATCTACTTTGAGAATAAGAGTATGTTCTCGACCATAAAAAACTAAATAACAAATAATTTTAAATTATTTTGGGGTTCACTCCTTCAAGAATTTGAGACTCACAACAAGCTGTTATCGACCCAAAAAATATTAGGATTAATATTACGAAAAATTCCAAACTAGTATATCTGTGACAGATTTACTCCGAACTAATTTTTTGACCACCAAAAACTCCAAACTGGTAGACCTTTGATAAATTTACCATAAACTAATTTTTTGATCACCAAAAATCACAAATTGGTATACTTGTGAAAAATTTACCCTCCGAAAATTAAATTAATACCTACAAAAATTACAAATTAGTAAACCTATGACAAACGGAGTGGTAAAACCCCAAACTAGTACACTCGTCAACTATTACATGTCATCCAACTTATCAATTTAATGGTAAAATTATCGAAAACTAATAAAGGGTAAATTTGTCACAGGTGTATCAGTTTGGGGTAAATTTGTCATAAATATACCATTTTGGAGTTTTTCGTGGTATTAACCTAAAATGTTATGCTAGCAAAGCCCTAGTAGCAACTATTTCATTTATAATTTTATTCGCAAATTTTCAATTTGATAAAAACCAGGAGGATGAAAAATGGAATTGGGTATTCAAAGCCAATTTCTCTTTTGCTTTTTTGGGTCTATGACCTCCCGGCATCCGGGGAATCCTCGACTAAATCCGGAATCGAGCACTGTCGGAAGCACAAGGGGTGTCGGCTCTCCCAGCGTCGGCAAGGGTTGATGGGGTCTTATTGTATTGAAATATATTAATACATGGGACCCACATTGCTGGCTTGACCTAGGGTTTGGCCATGAAGACCCCGTCAACCCTCACACGTATAAATACGGACATGCTCCAACTGCCGAAACTCAAACATCCGAAGCTTCGACTGCTGCAATTGTTCAGGTACGTGCCTTTTTTTTTTTCTCTTGCACATGTAATATCAATTCATTTTTCCTTTTTCGGAACAAAAAATTAAGAGCTTTTACCATGAAAAAGGAGTAGTTCGGAGAAAAATCTTGTGGTTATAATAGTAGAATCGACTTTATGAGAATGAGAAAATATTTGTAAAAGAGTTCTAACTAGAGATTTTGTTTATTAGAATATTGACATGATTTTAAATATTACCTCTAGCGTGATATTTATAAGAATGAGAAAATTGGTTGCGTCTCTGTTGAGTCGGATGTGATCAGAAAGTCGGTCAGATCCCAATCAAAGTGCCATCAGTTGTGAAGAAATGAAAGCTTAGTATCGATAATAAAAATCAGAGTTCAGCGACCCGATTGCCAAACCTATGGATGCGTTTATTTCGTGAAAAATCAACAATTTAAAAAATATTTCCCTAAAAACGATTACTTGTATCGCTTAACAAAATGAATATCTAGGTATAAATTGTTATTTATTGATAATGAAAATATTTTCCGTTGATTAGTCGATTAATTTACTTAATGTTTCATCAATGTTATCCACAGGATGGCTACCGCAATTCTCAAAGGGACATTCGAGTCATTCGAGCATCAAAGAAAGGACGGTATGTAGTATGTACATTGTGAATCTTGTACATGACCGGATATGCACGGCTCGTATATCCTACTCAATCTATATATATTATAGTACAATTAATATATATTTATACATAATTGACAAAACCATGTAATTTTTCATTCAACCAATATAAACACATATTTCCAATTTTGAGCCACGTCTCTAAATCTCCCTCTAGGCCAAACTAAGAAGAATATAGATTTGATAAACTACACGTACATTACCCTTGTGTCACCAAAGCCTACAAATAATTCAAATTTAACGTCTATCATTTTGTGCAAAGAAGTAGGAAATGAGAAGCCAAGAAACATGGGAGCTACGCGAAAACTCGACGTGAAGATCACGAATGCGGTTAACGTTTCTCCGGTGAGGGAAACTTTCGGCGGGCTCTACGCTCTCTCGAACCTCGACCAGACCTTCCCTTACTTGATTGAGATCATTTTCGCCTTCAAAGGCGAAGGGAGGGGGAAGCGTTTCGCCACGATGGAGACGATCAGAGAGTCGCTGGCCAAGGCATTGGTCGAGTTCTATCCGTTCGCGGGCAGACTTGTCGTGGGGAGCGACGGGAAGATGGCGGTGAGATGCACAGGAGAAGGTGTCCCTTTCGTCGAGGCGATGTCAGAAGATGACATCGGAGTGCTGGGCGACGTCAGCGCCATTGATCCCGCCACGCTGCGAAAACTCGTGAAGCACAGCGACGGAGCTCCAACCATATTGGAAGTACCTATGCTGACGGTGCAGGTAATATTCTTTTCTTTTCACTGAAAAGAGTAATGTCAGGAGATATCTACTAACAGTTTATCATATGATCCAGCTGACGACATTCAAGTGCGGAGGGATCATCGTCGGCATTGTCATGAATCACGTCCTCGTCGACGGCAAAGCCCTCACGGACTTCATAGCTTGCTGGACCGACCTGGCTCGAGCCAGGCCACCATCAGTTCTTCCCTTTCTCGATCGATCGGTGTTGTGCCCGAGGCGACCTCCGCAAATTGATTTCCCCCACCACGAGTATGCTCCGAGAGATCAGCGGTCCGAAGGCATAGTCAACCCCCAAACAAAGCCCCTTGTTTACAGATCATTCTGCTTCAAGCCACACACTCTCATTCTACTCAAGAAAGTATCAACAATCACAGTCCACAATGGCTCTTCCATAGTCCCTACGACCTTCGAAGTCATATCGGCGCTCGCGTGGATTTCGCGAACCAAAGCTCTCAGAATCGGCCCTCATGAGACAATGAAGCTTCTCACTGCAGTCGACGGTCGGCCCAAGTTTGACCCCCCGTTGCCGAGTGGCTACTTCGGGAACGGCATTGCTTTGTCCTGTGCTGAGTGCAGCGCGGGCGAACTGACCCACAAGCCCTTCTCGTTTGCTGTCCAGAAAGTGCACGAGGCGCTCCAATCCGTCACCGAGAATTACATAAGGTCGGCCATCGACCACGTCGAGCTGAACAGGGTCCTGGTCGATTGCGGGGGCAACGCTTGCTGCATCAGCAAGTGGAATCGGCTCCCTTTCTACAACATGGATTTCGGGTTCGGGAGGCCGTTCCAGGTGGCGCCGGCGACGGTCCCCAAAAATGTCATCTTTGTTGCTTCCCACAGCAGGGGGAGCGACAACTTGATTGTGTCTCTGGGCCTTCCTGGTGATGCCATGGATGTTTTCACGAAGTTGATTCATGAGGTCACACTGAAGAGCGAGCTCTAGTCTCATCCATGGATGTGAATACATGTGTATGTTTTCGGATGGCATGTGGTGAAGTCTATAGTTTTTGTGCCTCTAGTTTTAAGTAGGACCAACACGGTGGTGTTGGGCCGCTTGTGCCTGTTGTGTTATTTGATAGGACCCGGCTACCATAACGGTGCCGTAAGAATAAAACTCTGATGGTGCAATACTAGCCGCAATATTTAATGGAGGAAACTTGCACACTGCTTTGTACGGTTTAAGCTTTTTTTTACTCTCCATTGTTACCTTTTTTTTGTTGGCTGTATTTAAGATTAGAGGATTAAAAAGGACGCAAGAAGGACCAATCTAAAAGGGAAACCCTCACCAATTCCACTAAGCGAAATTCTCGAATATAAAAAGATAAAAATTAAAATACCGAAATATAGCTAATTACAAGTAGAAAAATATTAAACTAACTAAAAGGAAATCATTAATGTCATTGGAAAGATCTATTAAAATTCAAAAATGAAAAGCACTTGAAATGTTGACTTTATAACTAATAACAAATTCATTATGCATTGAATGGCGCCTCATTCTTTTCAATCAAATGAAATTGCTCTAGAGGGATTCTCTAATGACCGAAAATCAAGACTAGTGATATCAATTCTATATAAAAATAGTCGAATTAAAGATAGGATCAAAATATAAATAATAAATTAGCAGTCAAAAAAATTACCCTATGTATTCGATTCTCATAGATGAAGATATGCAAGGAATTGAAACATTACAAGATCAATCTCATAATCATGCAGCAGCCGAAAAGTCCTTTTCTCTCCCTCTCCCGTCATAGTCTTCTTCAGCCTTTGTTCAGAGTAAATATCCACTATTTTAAAAGTTGTAATTGAATCCTTCATATGTTACTTATTGTTTGAATATTATCATTTCTTTCTTTAAATAAAATAGGAAAATGGATCTCATCTTGTCTGAATATTATCATTTGTTTCTTTAAATAAAACTAAAAAAAAACTCTCATTATGTGCCATTTTAAACCTGTAGAAATCCCACCAAGTCAGAGACAAAAAAATATATGAAACGGGGCAAGCTGGTATCCCACATTCCAACTTTTAAACTGGTGGCTAGCAATTGACCGTTCATTTTGTGAAATAATGGACCGTTCTCTACTCATTTCCCTATTTGATATGTGCTTCCATCAATAATATAGTGGTTTACTTTTTAAAACAGGGAATGTTATAGATAAAAATGTCAATTTGGGGTTAATACCATGAAAAATCCAAAACTAATATACTTATAACAAATTTACCTAAAACTAATTTTTGACCATAAAAAAAATTTCAAAGTGGTACACATATAACAAATTTACCCCAAACTAATTTTTTTACCACCAAAAACCCCAAATTGGTACACCTGTGACAAATTTACCCTCCGTTAAATTGAATTAATACCACAAAAAATCACAAACTGATAAATCAGTGACAAAAAGAGGGGTAAAATCCTAAACTGGCACACCCGTCAATTGCCATATATTATCCAACTTAGCAATTTGATGACAAAATTTAACAGAAACTAACGGAGGATAAATTTGTCACATGTGTACCAATTTGAGGTTTTTGATGGTCAAAAAATTAGTTTGAAGTAAATTTATCATATGTGTACCATTTTAGGGTTTTTTGTGGTGTTAACCCGTCAATTTATGAGGTACAAGTGAAACTGTATCATAGAGGAAATTCCATATAGGGTAACTGAAGAGGGATTGAGCATATTAATAAATCGGTGGTGTTAACCCGTCAATTTATGAGGTACAAGTGGGAGTGTATCATAGAGGAAACTCCATATAGGGTAATTGAAGAGGGATTGGGCATGTTAATAAATCAAGTTGACTTATAATTTATTAAATTAAGGGTTAATACCACGAAAAATCCTAAACTGGTACACTTGTGACACATTTACCCCAAACTATTTTTTTGACCATAAAAAACCCTAAACTGGTACACCTGTGACAATTTTACCCTGAACTATTTTTTTGACCACTAAAAATCCTAAACTGGTACACCTGTAATAATTTTACCCTGAACTTACCACAAAAAATCTCAAATTGGTACATACGTGACAATTTTACCCTGAATTAAAATTTTAATATTATTATTTTTTTCGAATTTTTATTTATTTTTTATTCTTTTCTTTTCTTTTCTTTTTTTTTCATTTTCAAACTTTGGCCGGTCGCCGGACCGGCGACCGGCCAGAGGCGGAGCCGGCGAGGGCTTCCCTCGCTGGCTCGGGCAACCCTCGCCTGCGTCGGGCGAGGGCCGCCCTCGCCTGACGTCGGAGAGGGTCACCCTCGCCGGATTTGGCGAGGGCGACCCTCGCCTGCGTCGGGCGAGGGCCGCCCTCGCCTGAGTTGGGCGAGGGGTCGCCCTTGCCTTATGCAGGCGAGGACGGCCCTCGCAGGCTTCTACCGCTGGCCAGTCGCCGGACCGGCGACCGGCCAGAGGTTGAAGGTGAAAAAAAAAAGAAAAAATAAATAAATAATTCAAAAAATAAAAATAATAATAATATTAAAAATTAGTTCGGGGTAAAATTGTCACATGTGTACCAGTTTGGGGTTTTTTATGGTATGGTCGGGGTAAAATTGTCACAGATGTACTAGTTTGGGGTTTTTTATGGTCAAAAAAATAGTTTGGGGTAAATGTGTCACAAGTGTGCCAGTTTAGGGTTTTTCGTGGTATTAACCCTTAAATTAAACTCTTAAATAAAGGTGGTCTAAGAACATGATACGCTGATGGTTCGTATTTTTGGAGATCTCCTCCCTATGATAAGGCTATTATTTTGAGGAAGACTAACCCAAGTTACTGGAAGGATTTGGATTTGAAGAGTTTTAAAATTTTGATTAATGTCTCTTCTATCAAATTTCCACTCTGTTGGCTAAATATGTTGATCAATTTTAGTGATCAGCTATGATCTGATCTGAAAATCTTTGTCCTTCGAGAGACACAGGCACATAGGATGAGCCTTTACCAGTAATGATGCGTTTGGTAACCATTCTATTCTTAGAAATAATTTCTATTCAAAAATGATTTCTTTTATTCTGTTCCTGGAAATAATTTCTGAGCATTTAAAGGCGTTTAGTAACTATTCAAAACTTTTTATAATATTTTGAATTTTTTAATATTTCTTTCTTTTTTTTTCGTTTTTTTTTTAATTCTTCTCCTTCCTTGGCTTGTGGCTAGTCTTCAGCCATGGCTAGCGAGGGCGGCCCTCGCCCAAGCCGCGAGCAACGAGAGCTAGAAGAGGTCGGCGAGGGCCACCCTTGTGGCTTGCGGCCTAGGCGAGGGCGCGATGGTCACCCTCGCCCAGGCCGCGAGGGTCTAGCCTTCGCCTGTGGTCGGCGAGGGCCGCGACGCCCTTGCCTAATCTTTTGTATTTAGAAATTTTGTTAATTGTTGTAGAGATAAGTGAACTAAAAATCCTAGAACTTGTCGTAAATGTTCAATTAAGTTTTAAAATTTTTAAAAAGTGCAATCAAGTCTTAAAACTTATCAAATTGATGCGATCAAGTTCCTCCTCTAACTCCATCAATTTGACTAACGAAAATTGCTTTATCGCTTTATTAAGACACGCGTTGTTGATGTGGTCCCACCAAGCATCACTGATCTCTGCTCTCGTTGCCATCGCCACTGGCGGAGTCGGTAGTGTCACCGTCCAGGCTAGGCATTGCTGGGTCCAATCGCCACCTCCTTCGTCGTCTTTGTGACCTGGCCACGAGCGACTCAGCTATGGACAAAAGGAGCAATTTTTTGGTCTATCTTATTGGTTTCTTGATAAATCTATAAAAATAGAGTTGTTTTACCAATTTTAAGCAACAAATAATGCAATATTTGTTAGAAAGTATTTAGATTTCATTTTATTTACTCAAATTTTATTTGTTTACGCAGAATGATGAGACATGGAGAAAATAAGGAAAATATGGCAAAAATAAGGAAGGGAATATGTTACCCAGAGAAGAGTTACAAGATGGATATTAGATCGGGAATTTTGCGATTTATTCCCTAGTTTTTTGCGAAAAAGAAACAATTACCTTATGAGAGGAGTGTTAGATGTTATCCTATTTATAGGATAATATTAAGAACTTGGGGGACACACACAACTAGTTTTCTTTTAGATCGTAAATTTTATTGTTTTGGGAGTTTTTTTAAGTATTTTGAAGAGAAGACAAAAGTGATAATAGAATTATTGTTCTTTGATTCAAGATGTTAGGTTTTATTTATATTTTCATTTCTTCTTCTATTATGTTCTAATTTTCTTTTGTTAGGGCTACGATGTAACCTAACCATGATGATATGAATTTTATGCTTGTTATGTTTTGCAAGTGATTTCATTCATGTGTGTTATATATTATTGTGCTCAATGCCTTTAAGTGACTGGCTACCACTTGAATGATCTGATGTATATGTTTGAGACTGAAAAGTGATAATATGCAATTGCTCCTTATAATATATATAACCATGAATTAAATGTGGATAGAGATATACCATGTTATTTGTACAGCTTTCGGTTATAAGGTAGTCCCAAAGATTCATTGTAAACTGAGAATATTCATAAATTTTAATGCACTTTTATTTATTTAAATTCACATAAAGATATAGTGGATTGATAAATTGAGTAGATTTGCTATACCTAGAGATAGGATAGTAAAAAGACTAGGGAATTTCGTTATCACGTGCTTGATATTGTTCTTGTCTGTATAATGATCTGAAATTCATATCTAGTGGTTATAATGAAATTGGATGCTCTAACATATTTTATCTGATTGATTATCTGTCTTTAGTTTTTAAAATTTCGTTTTTAAAATTGTCGATTTTTATTTATTCTCAATTCTATTTTGATCTGTTAGATAAATTTTAGAATTAATCTATTTTTAATATTTAATTAATTTATTAATCATCAATCTCTGTGAGACAATAGTTTTCTCATTATTATATTATTTATTCATTGACTCATTTAGAATTTTACCGACGTTTCTTTCTTTTGGTTACTGCCTCTGTTGTCTTCCTGTTCTCTCTTGCGTTTTTTTTTTTTGTCAATCTTCCGCGGTTTCTTTGATTTTGAAAAAAATTGAATAAAAGGAGCATTTTTTTTACGATTTTTTCTGGGTTGATGCTTGGGGTTGGAGGAAAAGTGAAAGGGAGAGTATATTTTTTTTACCATTCTTTCTGGATATAGTCTTCTAGAGATGAGAG